TCCAGAGCCTAGAGTATCATTGTTTATTTACTCTCTAACACTACTTAGTTGAACCCATAAATGTAAAGTTTCAAGAAAGCCGATCTCAAGAAATTATTGGTTCCAGAGCCTAGAGTATCATTGTTTATTTACTCTCTAACACTACTTAGTTGAACCCATAAATGTAAGGTTTCAAGAAAGAAAGCCGATTTCAAGCAATTATTGGTTCCAGAGCCTAGAGTATCATTGTTTATTTACTCTCTAACACTACTTAGTTGAACCCATAAATGTATTTCAAGAAAGCCGATTTCAAGAAATCATTGGTTCCAGAGCCTAGAGTATCATTGTTTATTTACTCTCTAACACTACTTAGTTGAACCCATAAATGTAAAGTTTCAAGAAAGCTGATTTCAAGAAGTTATTGGTTCCAGAGCCTAGAGTATCATTGTTTATTTACTCTCTAACACTACTTAGTTGAACCCATAAATGTATTTCAAGAAAGCCGATTTCAAGAAATCATTGGTTCCAGAGCCTAGAGTATCATTGTTTATTTACTCTCTAACACTACTTAGTTGAACCCATAAATGTAAAGTTTCAAGAAAGCCGATTTCAAGAAATTATTGGTTCCAGAGCCTAGAGTATCATTGTTTATTTACTCTCTAACACTACTTAGTTGAACCCATAAATGTGAAGTTTCAAAAAAGCCAATTTCAAGAAATTATTGGTTCCAGAGCCTAGAGTATCATTGTTTATTTACTCTCTAACACTACTTAGTTGAACCCATAAATGTAAAGTATCAAGAAAGCCGATTTCAAGAAATTATTGGTTCCAGAGCCTAGAGTATCATTGTTTATTTACTCTCTAACACTACTTAGTTGAACCCATAAATGTAAGGTTTCAAGAAAGAAAGCCGATTTCAAGCAATTATTGGTTCCAGAGCCTAGAGTATCATTGTTTATTTACTCTCTAACACTACTTAGTTGAACCCATAAATGTGAAGTTTCAAGAAAGCCGATTTCAAGAAATTATTGGTTCCAGAGCCTAGAGTATCATTGTTTACTTACTCTCTAACACTACTTAGTTGAACCCATAAATGTGAAGTTTCAAGAAAGCCGATTTCAAGAAATTATTGGTTCCAGAGCCTAGAGTATCATTGTTTATTTACTCTCTAACACTACTTAGTTGAACCCATAAATGTAAAGTTCAAGAAAGCCGATTTCAAGAAATTATTGGTTCCAGAGCCTAGAGTATCATTGTTTATTTACTCTCTAACACTACTTAGTTGAACCCATAAATGTAAAGTTTCAAGAAAGCCGATTTCAAGAAATTATTGGTTCCAGAGCCTAGATTATCATTGTTTATTTACTCTCTAACACTACTTAGTTGAACCCATAAATCTAAAGTTTCAAGAAAGCCGATTGCAAGAAATTATTGGTTCCAGAGCCTAGGAGTATCATTGTTTATTTACTCTCTAACACTACTTAGTTGAACCCATAAATGTGACGTTTCAAGAAAGCCGATTTCAAGAAGTTATTGGTTCCAGAGCCTAGAGTATCATTGTTTATTTACTCTCTAACACTACTTAGTTGAACCCATAAATGTAAGGTTTCAAGAAAGAAAGCCGATTTCAAGCAATTATTGGTTCCAGAGCCTAGAGTATCATTGTTTATTTACTCTCTAACACTACTTAGTTGAACCCATAAATGTGAAGTTTCAAGAAAGCCGATTTCAAGAAATTATTGGTTCCAGAGCCTAGAGTATCATTGTTTATTTACTCCCTAACACTACTTAGTTGAACCCATAAATGTGAAGTTTCAAGAAAGCCGATTTCAAGAAATTATTGGTTCCAGAGCCTGAGAGTATCATTGTTTATTTACTCTCTAACACTACTTAGTTGAACCCATAAATCTCAAAGTTTCAAAAAGCCGATTGCAAGAAATTATTGGTTCCAGAGCCTAGAGTATCATTGTTTATTTACTCTCTAACACTACTTAGTTGAACCCATAAATGTAAGGTTTCAAGAAAGAAAGCCGATTTCAAGCAATTATTGGTTCCAGAGCCTAGAGTAGCATTGTTTATTTACTCTCTAACACTACTTAGTTGAACCCATAAATCTAAAGTTTCAAGAAAGCCGATTGCAAGAAATTATTGGTTCCAGAGCCTAGAGTATCATTGTTTATTTACTCTATAACACTACTTAGTTGAACCCATAAATGTGAAGTTTCAAGAAAGCTGATTTCAAGCAATTATTGGTTCCAGAGCCTAGAGTATCATTGTTTATTTACTCTCTAACACTACTTAGTTGAACCCATAAATGTAAAGTTTCAAGAAAGCCGATTTCAAGAAATTATTGGTTCCAGAGCCTAGAGTATCATTGTTTATTTACTCTCCTAACACTACCTTAGTTGAACCCATAAATGTGAAGTTTCAAGAAAGCTGATTTCCAAGCAATTATTGGTTCCAGAGCCTAGAGTATCTATTGTTTATTTACTCTCTAACACTACTTAGTTGAACCCATAAATGTAAAGTTTCAAGAAAGCTGATTTCAAGAAGTTATTGGTTCCAGAGCCTAGAGTATCATTGTTTGTATTTACTTCTCTAACACTACTTAGTTGAACCCATAAATGTATTTCAAGAAAGCCGATTTCAAGCAATTATTGGTTCCAGAGCCTAGAGTAGCATTGTTTATTTACTCTCTAACACTACTTAGTTGAACCCATAAATGTGAAGTTTCAAGAAAAGCCGATTTCAAGGAAATTATTGGTTCCAGAGCCTAGAGTATCATTGTTTATTTACTCTCTAACACTACTTAGTTGAACCCATAAATGTAAAGTTTCAAGAAAGCCGATTTCAAGAAATTATTGGTTCCAGAGCCTAGAGTATCATTGTTTATTTACTCTCTAACACTACTTAGTTGAACCCATAAATGTAAAGTTTCAAGAAAGCCGATTTCAAGAAATTATTGGTTCCAGAGCCTAGAGTATCATTGTTTATTTACTCTCTAACACTACTTAGTTGAACCCATAAATCTAAAGTTTCAAGAAAGCCGATTGCAAGAAATTATTGGTTCCAGAGCCTAGAGTATCATTGTTTATTTACTCTCTAACACTACTTAGTTGAACCCATAAATGTGACGTTTCAAGAAAGCCGATTTCAAGAAATTATTGGTTCCAGAGCCTAGAGTATCATTGTTTATTTACTCTCTAACACTACTTAGTTGAACCCATAAATGTAAAGTTTCAAAAAGCCGCTTTCAAGAAAGTATTGGTTCCAGAGCCTAGAGTATCATTGTTTATTTACTCTCTAACACTACTTAGTTGAACCCATAAATGTGAAGTTTCAAGAAAGCCGATTTCAAGAAATTATTGGTTTCAGAGCCTAGGGTATCAGTGTTTATTTACTCTCTAACACTACTTAGTTGAACGCATAAATCTAAAGTTTCAAGAAAGCCGATTGCAAGAAATTATTGGTTCCAGAGCCTAGAGTATCATTGTTTATTTACTCTCTAACACTACTTAGTTGAACCCATAAATGTAAGAGTTTCAAGAAAGCCGATTTCAAGAAATTATTGGTTCCAGAGCCTAGGAGTATCATTGTTTATTTACTCCTCTAACACTACTTAGTTGAACCCATAAATGTAAAGTTTCAAGAAAGCCGATTTCAAGAAATTATTGGTTCCAGAGCCTAGAGTATCATTGTTTATTTACTCTCTAACACTACTTAGTTGAACCCATAAATGTAAAGTTTCAAGAAAGCCGATCTCAAGAAATTATTGGTTCCAGAGCCTAGAGTATCATTGTTTATTTACTCTCTAACACTACTTAGTTGAACCCATAAATGTAAGGTTTCAAGAAAGAAAGCCGATTTCAAGCAATTATTGGTTCCAGAGCCTAGAGTATCATTGTTTATTTACTCTCTAACACTACTTAGTTGAACCCATAAATGTAAAAAGTTTCAAGAAAGCTGATTTCAAGAAGTTATTGGTTCCAGAGCCTAGAGTATCATTGTTTATTTACTCTCTAACACTACTTAGTTGAACCCATAAATGTATTTCAAGAAAGCCGATTTCAAGAAATCATTGGTTCCAGAGCCTAGAGTATCATTGTTTATTTACTCTCTAACACTACTTAGTTGAACCCATAAATGTAAAGTTTCAAGAAAGCCGATTTCAAGAAATTATTGGTTCCAGAGCCTAGAGTATCATTGTTTATTTACTCTCTAACACTACTTAGTTGAACCCATAAATGTGAAGTTTCAAGAAAGCCGATTTCAAGAAATTATTGGTTCCAGAGCCTAGAGTATCATTGTTTATTTACTCTCTAACACTACTTAGTTGAAGCCATAAATATGTGAAGTTTCCAAAAAAAGCCGATTTCAAGAAATTATTGGTTCCAATAAAAAGCATCGTAAACACCAGGAGGATGTTCGCCATCCAGATGTACCAAGGACTAAAAGAAGTTACTTTATGAAATTCGGAACATTATAGCTAGAGACAATTGTTTGACCGTCAGCACTAGAAACAAATAAACAAAGAGCAATGATTGCGAGGTTTCTCCTAGCGTTCCTTGTGTCAATTCACTTGGATCCTTGTCCCAGACGTAGCGAGGGAATCTAAAATAAAAGAAAATGATTGAGCAATAATAAATACTATAGTTTTCATCAATCCTATACACGTTAAAAGGTCAAGCCCAAAATTTACATGAAAAAAGTGAATGAGTAATGGTCTTCTACAGTCTGATGACAACAAAAATGTTTATGTGGCAGCAATGTGGCATTGTTCACCCATTTTTGCTATACATTTTTCTGTAATACAATTTTTTACTTTTTGCATTTTTTTCAATCTGTTTTAGATGACTGCTCGAGTATCAAAGATATGCTGATGCTGTGGAAAGAGAACGAACGTCAAACCGCAGATCGAGCTAACCTAAGACGGAACGTTGCCACGCGGATCTCGCATAAAATAGAGTAACAAAAATTTTATAACAAAAAATATCCTTATTTTTTAACAAAAAATATCCTTATTTTTGCGGTAGACTGTTGAATGTTGGCTGCTGAAAATAGATTTTAGATCTCCACTTGGACTAATATAATACGATACCAGTTGTAGGTCGTTTCCATCAATGACAAGCTCGTCTTTTTGAGTTGTCGACATGACAGCCGTCACTCCATCAGGAAGAGTCACTCGTCGGATGATTTTCTCTCCCAAGAAGTTATGAATCTAAACAGAAACGGTAAAGTGAAATTTATTTTTTGAAGGTTGAGTGGTATACTATCAAACTATAGTTATTAATGACTATCGCTAGCGAATCCGCTGCTTCATTTTGAGCAAGTTCGGAAGGTAGAACAAAAAATTGCTCTCCATTATGAACCTTTATATCAGTCCGATACCTCGATAAGTCGTCCTTTTTCTTGAAGAGCTATGTTGATTGGGAAATAAGCGTAGACGGAACGCATCTTGTAACGATAGCCCTTGGTGACGCCTTGATCATGTTTTGAATGTGCGAGCAGACAGTGCGGATGGCAGCAAGCTCTTTGCGATTTCCAAACCTGTATAAACGCGCACTTTGCAGCCCTGAAAATTGGCTTAAAACGCATTTTCCCAAGTTTATGTTGTGATTTTTTGGAATCTACGCACAAAACTACCCAGAAAAAGTAGTTTTGAAAAAACCCCCACAACCGGTGTAGTACCAAAAAATTCAAAGTAAAACTAAGGAAAGAAAAGACCTTTTGGACGTGAACGTGAAGCGGAACGGCGATTCAAAGCGGCGGCGATTGGCGACAATGTGGCCTTGGCTGGGACGACCGGCGAGTTAACGTTAAAAGTGAAAGTTAAACAAAAAAAACATACCAAAATTCTTTGCAGTGGATGCAAGTGATTCGAAGTAAAAGTGGGACAAATGCGACCGGCCCTTTAGCGCACCTTTTTCGCGTTTTAAAAAAAGCTAACAATAACCAATTTCTATTTCAAATTGTGGCTTGTGGAAGCAAACGGACGGCGTTATAATCGTTAAAATCGACAATTTTCTGTAATTTCGCCTACCCGTTTTATCTTTCAAATTGGTTTCACAAGCTCTGATATGTCAAAATTTGGATTCTAGGCCCTAAAATTATCCAGAAAAAACTTTTGGAATGGAAATTGGATAATATTAGCTTTTTAGAACTTTTTAAAACTCGAAAAAAGGTGCGCTAAAAAAAATGGGTGCTCAAAAAAGTAGCATTTGTTCCTTCGAAATAAATAAGCACCAAATATGAAAAAAATGGCGCACTTCTCATGGTTTTAGATGACGGTTAAATGCTACATTGAGGGACGAACCGAATAATTTCATTTCAAACGTGTTTCTATTTTGCTTTCTTTTGTATTTTTTAATTTGTTAACTGTTGTAAGCATTTTCCTGTTTTCCTTTCTTCTTCAATATAAATATTCTTCAAATTTTTGTTTGAAAATAAATATTACTTTGGTTTTTGGGATGGCGTCGCAAATTTCGGTCTTTACCGATAATTTTCTAGGAGTGGTGTTATCTTCTGTTTGTTTTTATGTGGAGAATGTTTTAATTAATTTTGTTTTAGGGTAGCAATTCATCATGAAGCTCATCGAGTCAAATGATAGCGTTTCTTTTCCTGCTAATGTTGCCTTCACCGTGAAGGGGCGCCTTGTCCATGTCAAGGGACCAAGAGAAACGCTCGTCCGTGACTTCAGACACTTACACATGGAAATGGTAACAATACACTTCTTTGTTCTAAAAATTTATTTAATTTAGAAAGAACGCTTGGAAAGAACACAATCCGCGTTCGATGAGAGGGATATACAGTCAGCAAAAAAGTCCATCATTGTCTCCCAAAGGCTTAAAACAAAAATTTTTTTGCAAAAATAAGCGTTTCAGAAAAACTTGTTGGCGACTAATTCTACCATTGTGGTCTAGTTTTCGAATGAACAAGTAAAAACTTTATTTGTAACAGTAAAATAGAAAAAAAATAACAAAAGAGCTAGTGACCAACAAAAAAGGAAGCAAAAAAGTCTTGCAGCACCAAACATATTCAATAGTTTAATACTATGTAGCAGAAAATAATTTCACTTTTAGACATGTTTTTGGCATGTTTTGGCTATCGTTTTGGCTATCGTTTGAAATAGTTTTCAACAATTTTAATTTTTTGATTTACGGTGGTCCACAAAAGTAATGCCTCGTTACCATTCAAAAGTATTTTTTGCAAAATTCCTTTTGAAAACATGTATTTAAAGTATTTTTCCTCTTATAAAATACTTTAGAAATTCTAGTTGTTAAATAACTGGATTTTTTTGACTGAGATCCTTTAAATCAAAAGATTTAAATCGAGGTGGAAGAGTCCATTAGTTCTTCTAAATCAACGATGAATGCTGTGGCTTACACGAAAATTATGGGGACCCAAATGCTGCCTTTTACCTTTTGGATGGATGCTCTGCCAGAACAACGATCCGAAACACAAGCCAAGGCTCATAATGGGAACGGTGATGACTCTTCAGAATGGTACACAAGTACGACTTCCGGGCTGGTTTGCGGCAAATCGAGTCAAATTGATCAATTCGCCTCCCTACTCACCGGATATCAATGTTATCGAGCATCTCTGGTCATTTGTGAAGTCGCGACTCAAGGGAAAGAAATTCGATTGGAAGGCTGCCTTATGGGTTCACATTCAACGTCTCTGGGCCACCATCCCCCAACGTCTTTTGAAGAATCTCGTGGATTCCATGCCGAATCGACTCAATGAAGTAATAAAAGCAAAAGGAGGACCAACCAAGTATTAATTTTTAAAAATTTTGTTAATTCTTTGCAGATGGGGCATTACTTTTGTGGAGCTAATTTCCAAGTAGCTTATTGTTTTGTTTTATAATTTAATTTGTATGTAATGTATACGGATAAATCTTATATTCTTGAAGAGTCAAGTCTTAAGGGTCGGTAAAAATACCCTACTCTTTTTCTGAAATGTCGATTTTGCAAGATTTCCTTACAAAACATACTGTTGGATGGCAATGGGACCCTTACCTACTTTTCTGACCGATCAATTTTGGGGGAATTATTACGGTAGTTAAATTAAAGCAAATTTTTATAAAAATACAGTGATCCGCGTAAGTATGCCCTATGCCCCTACAAAAATATCACTGAAAAAATCTTCCATAAAACACTAACTCGATAAAAGATTATTGGCTTTTTAGATCAAATAGAATTTACTTATGTACAGGTGACAATTAAAAAAACTAGAACAAAAAGTTTAACAAAAACAAATATGACCTCGAATATGCAAAAGTAATGGCATATCAGCAAAGAGTAACACAAAAAGTAAATCAAAATTTTGTGGAGCCGCCTTTTGCTTTGATCACTTCATGAAGTCTATCCAGCATTGAATCCACGGGTTTCATGTAGAATAGTCGACCAGAGACGTTGAATTTGAAACCAAAGGCGGCTTTTGAGTCGAACTCTTTTTCCCTAGCACTAGGCTAGGCTACCGAGGCACCCCGACGCACCCCGATGCGCCAAGGCTTTAACTAGGCTAGCTTGGCGTTTGGCCGAAACTTTCAAGGCTTATATCTTAAGATCTGCTTATGATAAGTAGGATTTGAAACTAGTTTGGGGATGCCCTTAACCAGGGGGTGGTGTTTGCACCTCGGAATCAGATCATTTCAGAAATGTAACTTCAAGGGGTTCCCTGGTGAATATGGTAGCACCCGGAGTGTCACAATGAGCTTCAGCAATGCGTTATGAGATTTCCGGCCAAAAATACTATTTTGTCCAGGCTTTGGGGCTTGGAGCTTGGGGCTTGGGCTTGGGGCTTGGGCCAGGCCAGGCTTGGGCTTAGGCTTGGGGCCAGGCTTGGGAGGCTTGGGCTTAGGCTTGGAGCAGGCTTGGGCTTGGGCTTGGGCTTGGAGGCTTGGGCTTGGAGCTTGGGCTTGGGCTTGGGCTTAGGCTTGGGCTTGGGGCTTGGGCTTGGGCTGGGAGGCTGGCTTGGGCTTGGGAGGCTTGGGGCTTGGGCTTGAGGCCAGGCTTGGGCTTGGAGGCAGGCGTGGAAGCCGGGCTTGGCCAGGCTTGGGGCGGGCAAGGCTTGGGCTTGGGCTTGGGCTGGGGCTGAGGGAGGGTGGGCTTGGGGCTTGGAGGGGAGGCCCAGGCCGAGGCTGGGAAGCAGGCTTGGAGGCTTGGGCTTGGGCTTGGGCTTGGAGGCAGGGCTTGGGCTTGGGGCAGGCTTGGGCTTGGGCAGGCCCAGGCTTGGGGGAGGCTTGGAGGCTTGGGCCAGGCTTGGAGGAAGCAGGCTTGGAAGCTGGAGGCGGAAGCGGCTTGGAGGAGGCTTGGGCTTGAGCCCAGGCTTGGAGGCTTGGAAGCGGGCTTGGGCTTAGGGCAGGCTTGGGCTTGGGCTTAGGCCCAGGCTGGAAGCAGGCTTGGGGCTTGCAGGCTTGGGGCCTGGGCTTGGGCTTGGAAGCAGGCTTGGAAGCAGGCGGAGGCTTGGGCTTGGAGAGCCCCAGGCATGGACGCTTGGTAGGCTGGGAAGCAGGCCCAGGCTTAGGCTTGGGAGCGGGGAGCAGGCTTGGGGCTTGGAGGCGGGCTTGGGCTTGGGCTTGGGAGGCATGGGCTGGGAGGCGAGGCTTGGAGCCCCAGGCTTGGGCTTGGAAGCGGAGGCTTGGGCACAGGCTTGGGCTTGGAGGGGCAGGCTTGGAGGCTTGGGCTTGAGGCTTGGAGCTTGGAGGGAGGAGGCAGGCTTGGAGCTGGAAGCAGGCTTGGAAGCTAGGCTTGAGGCTTGG